AAAAAAAAAAAAAAAATTTTTTTTTTTTTTTTTTTTGTCTTTTGTCTTTTTCCGTGTCCGGCAACGGATCGCAACCCTCAGTGTTGCCCCCGTACCGGACCGGGGACCGGCAACGGGATTGCAACCCTTGGCGTTGCCCCCGCGCCTCGCTCAGCCAGTGAGCGGGAACCGGTCCGTATGTGGGATCCGAACCCTCGGGCGGGAGCGCCGCCGCGCTTCCCAAGCGGCGCACTATCCAGTGCGCCACCGGGCTGGCCCAAAAAGATCATTTTTATAAGCTGACTTTCATTAGTATTTTCTAGTAACCAAAATCATGTTTTATTGAGTCTTCTCTGCCAAGTCTTTATCCTTGTCTTTTGTTTTTCAGTTTCTAAGCTGACAAAACAACTAATGCTCCTGGAGACTAAAACCCAGGGCCAAGAAAAGGAGCTGATGGAAAACAAGGAGCAGTTGGAGAGTTTACATGCCAGGTGCCAAGAACTCAAAACACACTTGGACGGCAAAATTACAATGAAAGTTCATACTTCGATTGTAAATGAATTAAAAAGGTAAGGATTTAAAGTCTTTTCAGCTGTCATTATGCACATTAATACAGGCAGAGTGGAGAGAGGTTGATTAGTCTTTTTCGAGGTCTTTTTTTGCCTACACCAGCACAGGTGTCTGAGCAAGAAAGGTAAATATTTCATTAAAGTAGAATCTGGCTGTCCTTGAGGGCTGCAGTCTGTACTTTGTGTGTGTATGATTTTTTTTTTCCTGCTGTTCTAGACTTTATTAGTTTTAGAGCCAAAGATGATTTAAACTAATAAAACTGGAAACCTAAATATATAGTAATAGGGAACTAGTTAAATGGAAGGCTACCACCATAAAGTGGAATATAATGTAGCCATTAAATATGATGTCACAAAAGGTTCCTTTTGACATGAAAAAATGGCTGCAATATATTTTTAAGTGAAGGGATTAGGTTGCAAAACAGTATGTACAGAATGGTCACAATTTTATGCTTTTTAAAGAGTGTGTGTGTGTGTGTGTGTGTGTGTGTGTGTGTGTGTGTGTGGATACCTATTAACAATATGTGTGCTGAGGTAACTGACCAACCATCCCAGTTTATCCGGAACTGAGGGGTTTCCAGAATGTGGGATGTTTAGTACTAAAACTAGGAAAGTTCTTAGGCAAACTGAGATGAGTTGATCACTCTAGTATGAGCATATGTATATGTGCGTTTGTATAATTGCATATATAACCATAAGGATATAGAAAAAAGACTAGAAAATGGGAAAATATTAACAGAAATTATCTTTGGCAGATGAAATTATGAGTATATCAGTCAGGGTTCTCGAGAGGAACAACTGATAGGATATAAATAGAGAGAGAGATTTATTTTAAGAAATTGGCTCACACAATTATGGGGGCTGGCAAGTCCAAAATTCATAGAACAGGCCAGCCAGTTGGAAACTCAGGCAGGATTTCTATGTTACCATCTTGAGGCAGAATTCCTTCTCTAGGAAACCTCAGTTTTTTGTTCCTAAGGCCTTCAACTGATTGGATGAGGCCCACCCGCGTTATCAAGGGTAATTTCCTTTATTTAAAGTCAATTGATAGTAAATGTTAATTACATCAACAAAATATCTTCACAGCAACATCAAATCTAGTGTTTGACCAAACAACTGGGCACCATAGTCTAGTCAAGGTGACCCACAAAATTAACCATCACAATGGGTAATTTAATTTTTGTTATATGTTTTTATATTTCCAAGTATTTGCTTATGAATGCACATTACTTTTGTAATAAGGGTGGAAATCATTTTTTTAAATGGTGAGGATTTCAGCTCCAGATGGTTGAGTGAATATACCTGTTTACTTATGTTCTTCCTCACCCCCTCCTCCACCTCCTCCCTCCATAGGATTTGTGTGCAGGAATAAATGAGCTAGTACATATAAAGTGCTTAGCTTGGTGCTTCAATATATGCTGGCAATTCCAATTATTGGGACCCAATGTTTTGACTACACTATACCTGCTGTCTGGGCCAGACCTGTGCTTTTTCTATTCTAGAAGAAGAAGGAAATTGTTTTGAAGTTATGTTGACTTTTTTTTTTTTTTTCTGAAAAGATGACCGGTAAGGGGATCTTAACCCTTGACTTGGTGGTGTCAGCACCACGCTTACCCAGTGAGCGAACCGGCCATCCCTACATGGAATCCGAACCCGTGGCCTTGGTGTTATCAGCACCACACTCTCCCGAGTGAGCCACGGGCCAGCCCCGAAGTTATGTTGATTTTATTTTCCTCAAATACCCACTCCTGTGGCTGATGTTTTTTGAGGATGTGTCATAACCACATATTTTTTTTAACCTTCTTTTTTTTTTTTTTTTTTTAAAAATGGGAAGAAGGGTTCTTCTGCATGGAAAATGACACTTTTAAATATCAAACCCATTTCTTGGGCATACTGTATGATAACATTAGGGACTGAAATGCTAAATTCTGTCTTCAGTTTCTACTATGTGAAACTTTTTTTAGAATTGTACAAGATTTCAGAAGTGGCCTTTTATCAAGCCCAGGTGAGATGGAATCTTTACTGTCCTTTCACATAGGACAGAGCTTCTCCTTCCTCATAACTGTTCATTTTTGTGGTTTGCCAAAGAGCTGATTCTTTACACAGCTGAAAGAGTTATCAAGAAAAGTCATCCATGTCCAAGCTTTTTGTTGATTTGCTGCCCAAGTGGTCTGTCCAATGCTGAGAGGCATGATCAGGTCCCCCAATACTATCATACAGCAGATGTCTCTTCCGTCACTATGAAATGGACTCTGTGGAGACAGACATCCTCCTCCTCTCTTTATCTCTGCTGGTGACTCTCTTTGTGTCAACTCACTCCAGTGGCTGGTGGACCATCTGTCCAGTGGTTGTGGCATCTAGCCGCCTTCACAGCAGCCATGGTTATCGTGGTGGCTGTGGTGGGCCACCCACATGGAGGAGATGTTTTTGGCCTGCTCTGTGGTGCTGGCAGTGTGCCTGGTTGTGGAGAGTGTCTGATCCCCCGTTCCATACCCCAGGTCCCCGAGTGGGTCCTGAGGTGCTGGCACAGTGTGCCTGGTTGTGGGAGGGGGGCTCCAGTCCCAGACTGTGTACCCCGGGTCCCCAGGTCAGCCCTGAGGTGCTGGCACGGGGTGCCTGGTTGTGGGAGGGGAGTCTGGTCCCCTTTTCCAGGCCCCAGGTCCCAGGGCAGGCCCTAAGGAGCTGGCACAGGGTGCCTGGTTGTGGAAGGGGGGTCCGGTTCCCAGCTCCATACCCCGGGTCCCTGGGCTGGCCCTGAGATGCTGGCATGGGGTGCCTGGTTGTGGGAGGTGGGTTTGGTCCCCTTCTCCATGCCCCAGGTCCCAGCATGGGCGCCAAGGCACTGGTGTGGTGTGCCTGGTTGTGGGAGGGGGATCCAGTCCCTTTCTCCTTCCCCCAGGTCCCTGAGCAGGCCCCAAAGCATTGGCGCAGGATGCCTGGTTGTGGGAAGGGGGTCCGGTCCTCTTCTCCATGTCCTGGGTCCTGGGTCCCTGGGCGGGCCCCAAGGCACTGGCATGGTGTGCCTGGTTGTGGGAGGGAGGTTCGGTCCCCTTCTCCATGCCCCAGGTCCCAGGATGGGCGCCAAGGCACTGGCGTGGTGTGCCTGGTTGTGGGAGGGAGGTTCGGTCCCCTTCTCCATGCCTCGGGCCCCTGGGTGGGCCCTGACGCACTGACCTGGCATGCTTGGTTGTGGGAGGGTGGGTCTGGTCCCAGCTCCTTACCCCGTGTCCCTGGGCAGGCCCCGAGGTGCTGGCATGGTGAGCCTGGTTGCATAACCACATATTTAATAGCCCCCTAGACATAAGTAGAGAAGGTAAAAACATTTGAAGCACTAATGAAGAAGGCAATGGGAGGCATGGTTGTTAAACAAGCAACGTCACCAAGCCTCTTTTAAGTGGAACTATTGTGGCTTAGAATGAATTGGGACATGGAGGGAAAGCCTTTATGCCAGCTTGTTGCTGAACTCAGAGTTGATAGGTGGGGTGGAGGATGAAAAGGGTGATGGGGAGTGGAGAGCTAGGGCTAGGGCTCACAGACCCCTCGAGCCTGTTGTCCAGACTGGGTCAGAAACCCTTCACACGCAGGTCTACGAGCTAGGTAATAGGAAAAGGACCTGGGAGCCGTGGGTGAAAAATTAATAGGCTTTATTCAGAGCTAGGAGCAGCTGTCCTAGTGGCTTCCCGGAGCATCTTAGAAGCTTCGCATATCAGAGCCATTAGTCCTTTATGCTCAAGTCCATAATCCAAAGCACCTGGGTGCACACACACATGCACATTAAACAATAACAAGGAACACCTGTGTGCATGTGTATATTTACATCAGATGCTCGGCAAGATTCCGAACATCTGAGGGGCCCTGACCATTTTTCTATATTTTCCCAACAGGGAGTGTTGACCCTAATGGGTTCTCTATCAGAAGGGGCAGTGTTTGATTGCAGAGAAAATTTGTAACATGGAAACGGGGCATGAATTCATCAGGGATGGAATATGTGAATTCAGGGGGGTGGGTATAGGCTATACCAAGACCTGGTGGAAAAATAGACAAAGTAAGGAGGAGACTCAGAGTGTTTTTGTTTTGGCTACTGTAAGCATGAGGTAAGGTAAGGACATTTTAGAGTTAGGCTAAAGGGAACAGAAGGGCCACTGAGGTTCGGTGTACTTGCCCTCTGGTGCCTCAATTAGAAGGATCTCTTCCCATGCTGATATCATAAGAGCAAAATAGGTAATTATTAGTTAGCAGCAAATCATCTGTTGAACTCACTCTCAAACTGGGGGAAAGCCAAGGGAGGAGTTTGGGAAAGGGTTGTGCCACAGGCAAAGATGAGGTCATGGGGAAAAGATTTTTGCATGTACTGTGTTTAGAAGGGTTAAATTGAACCTGTTCTTGGCAAGCTTCTAGGTATGGTGCATATATGTTGTTTCCCCTAAACTGGTTGAAGGCAATGCAGATAATAAGTGGCATTTTGTCTTGCTTGTTCTACCTGTTGGCAGCCCTACCTGGAAGGAACTAACTATGACATGGGAAATGGCACGAGCTTCTTTTCCTAGTGAACTGTCCTCTTGGCTCTAGTTAGACTGGTAGTTACACCTTGAAACTTAGGTTGCTCTCTTTGTTTATACTGTTTTCCAGAAAGGTTTAGCCTACAGATGGGTGATTGAAGAAGAAGTGGTGTCAAACCACTTCTCTAAGGAAAGTTAGCAAAGTCTTTTGGGGAGAGCTAAGGGTTTAGGGTGACTGGTGGTGCCTACGAAGGAAAACCTGCTTTAGCCTGGCTTTATGGGGCCTGTATTCTAAAGCGAAGTCAACTATTCCACACACCTCATCTGTGTACACACAGTCCTGCTCAGCAGTCAGGGAGATGCCTGCTCATAAGAGACACCAGGGAAGAAAATCAATCAACTTACATGATACACACCAATGACCCAGTTCTTCACCATAAAAAATGAATAGACTACTGGATGTGAGCAAACAACAAGATGATTAGGCATAATGAAAGACAT